GGGGGGGGGGGGGGTGGGAATGCTAGTAATTTAACTGGCAAGCAATTTAAAGCATTTTTAAAATACTGAAATATACATTTTTATATGAAAGTGTAAATATAATTCTTAATTATAAGAATTATAATAATGTATAGAAATTTTAAAGACAAAGATTTTAAAGATATGTACAGAGCAACTGAAAGCTAAGGGTGAGGTCTCAACCCCTCGGACCCTGTTCCCTCTCTTCTGCATCAGGGGCTTTTTGTGAAAAGTCCTCTCCAGTGGCTCTGTGCCTGTGGTTGGCAGATTCATGGCTCCAGAGATGTCCATTCTGGAATCCCCAGAGCCTGTGGATGTGCTAGCTTACCTGGCAAAGGGACTTCGCAGATGTCACTAACGTAGGACCTTGAGATGGGGAGATAATCTAGGCCTAGATTATCTAAGTGGGCCCAATCGAATCACATGATCTTTAAAAGTAGAGACCCTTTCCTGGCTTCAGCCAGTCAGAGAAAGATATCAAGAAAGTTGAAGGGTCAGAGGGATGTGCTGTTGCTGGATGTGTAGGTGAAGGAAGGGACCACAAGCCAAGGAAGGTAGGCAGCTTCTAAAAGCTGGAAAAGACAAGGTATGGATTCTCCCCTAGAGTGTACAGAAAAGAGCACAGTCCACTGACACCTTGATCTCAGCCCAGCGAGATCTGGGCTTTCTAACCTATAGAACTGTAAGATATTACATTTATGATTTTTAAAGCCACTGAGTTTCTGGTAATTTGCTATGACCACAATTGGAAAGGAATATGTAACTCCCACCCTCAGAATGGGAGCAGTCATTCACACCTTAGTGTTGATTAGTCTCTTTCCTGAGAACAGATCTTTGTGGAAAGTTTGGAGCTGAAGGGATCTGAGGAGAAGAAAGGAGGCAAGGAGGTGAGGGAAAGATCCTAATAGGGAGCCTGGGATGCCTGCTTCACACGGACTGGCCTGGAGCAGATCTTGATCTTGGAGCACAGACTTTGGGGACTGTTTCCGCTACAAGGAAACTCCAATGGAAGCAAAGAGACCAGTGAGGATACTACTGTAATAGGCAAGCAACTATGCTGGTTTGGCCCTGGGTGGTGTGAAGTCATCAAATTCTGTATATAATTTGATGGAAGAGTTGACAGGACTTGCTAACAAATTGGATGTAGGGTGTAAGAGAAAGTCCTCCAGGATCTAGTGTTCTAGGAAAGATTAGAAGGCTGGGAAGGGTGCAGGGGGGTGTGAAATCAGGAGTCCATCTTTGGTCATGTTAAGTTAGAGATGCCTGTTAGACATCTAAGTAGAAACATCAAGTACATGGATGGACGGATGAGCATGGAGTTCATGGGCAGAGTCCAGGCTGGAAATATAAATGTGGGGGTTATCAGTGTAGAGACAACATTTAAAACCAATATTCACCAGTGAGATGGGATGAGATCGCCAAGGAAGTGAGTCTAGGGGGAGAGGAGAAGGGGTCCAAGGACTGAGCTTTGGGGAGCCTCCAAGGTTTCCAGGTTGAGACATGAGGAAGAGGCAGCAAAGGAGGCTGTGGCCGGTGAAATAGGAAGAAACCCAGGTGAGAGTAAAGACTGAAAGACAAGTTGAGAAGGCCTTTCAGTAAGGAGGGAGCAGTCATCTGTGTCAAATGCGGCTGATGGGTCAAGGATGATGAGGACTGAGAATTTACGATTGGATCTAGAAACATGGAAGTCATTGGTGACCTTGAAAAGACCTGCTCCACTGTCAAGGTGGAGCAAATACTCTGATTAGAGTGAGTTGAAGAGAGAATAAGAGGAGAGGAGGTACTGAGATACGGAGCACAGACAACTCCTACGTGGGGTTTTGATGTAAAAGAAAGATGAGAATAGGGGCCTAGAAGGGGTCATTCTAAGCTGGGCACGCTCTTATGCTGATGGAAATGGTCCAATGGAGAGGAGGAAAGGTGACTATGTAGAGAAGAGAGGAGAATCTTGCCAGAGGGATGTCTTTGAGTAGGTGGGGAGGTGCAGTGCACCAGTGGAGGGATTGTTCCCTGTATCTGGAATAGAATGCTGAGGGGGTGGGTACCGATGCAGGTAGGTAGCTAAATGGGGTGGCAGGAGTTTGTGGACTTTCCTTTTGATTCCTTCTACTTCCTCAGTGAAACAAGAAGGAAGGTCATCAGCTGAGAGTAAGGCTGAGGGAGATGGTGGTGAAGGTCAGAGGAGGGAGCAGGTGTGAAATCGTCATTCAGGAAGGACAGTGGGGGCACCTTTCAAGACTCTGGAAGAGTAACAGGATCCATGGGCACCAGTGGTACCCACTGGAGGCCAGTGTTCAGGAATCGAATTGACAACCGGTCGGTGTGGTTATGTGGATTTTCTGGCTTTGTTCAGCTGTAAAGGTGCGAGGGGGGAAAGCAGGCAGAGAGCTGGATTTAACTGAGGTTGGGATTTCTCCAGGAAAGTACAAAGGCAGAAGAGAAAGGCAAGGGAGATGAGAGTGTTTAAAAGGAAGTGATCACATTGATGAGCCATGGAATGGAGGCTGGGAAGGAGGAAGTGGGGACATGATGGAGGGTGGGGAGGGACAGTGAAAAGGTGGTTGGATCAATGGGTTGAGAGTTCTGGGGGACAAAAGGGCTATTAAAATTGAGGTAATGTGTGATCTGGGAAGAGAGACATTGTAATGAGGGAGGGAGCAGTGAGTTATGGGGGACGGCCATGGGAGGAGTAGCTGGGGTAATGAGGACAAGATCGCTGATGAAGAGGAGGTCGAGGAAGGGAATGGAAAGAACGTCCATGTGGAGAATGTTCATTCACTCCAATATTTTTGAGCACCGACTATGTGCCAGGCACTGTTCGGGCACTTGGGACCCATCAGTATATGTTGCAAGCCAAACAATTTACAAGAGAGTAATGGTGAAAAGAGTGACAGCGAGTCAAGTACAATCTGCTTCCTCTCCTTCTCCTCTCACACAAGGAGGAGCATGAGGCTCAGAGAGGGCAAGTGACTCTTCCAAGGTCACACAGGGAGCTAGGGGTAGAGCTGGAACTAGAATGAAGGTCTCCAGCCTCTAAGAACAGGGACTTTGATGTATAAAATCTGAGCTCCTGTAACATGACAGCCCGAAAAGGATCGTGAGATTCTGTGTACATTAATATGGGGATAAACAGCATGAGCTTCAACAATGATGACCAAGAAGATGACAGACAATGCTCCCCAGGAGCTTCGAAATGACAGAGCAATGTCCCCACAGACGTGTCCTGCAGAGATTTAGAAGTCTATGAAGTAAAACAGAATTGCAGAACAGTCAGTTCCCAGAAAGCACAGTGGTTTCTCTTGCTGCCAGAACTTTGCACATGCTGTTCCCTCAGCTTGGAACACCATTCCCACCACTTTACACGGATAACACCTACTCATACTACAGGACTGAGCTTCACATTACTTCCTCCACCCCAAGCCTGGGCCAGGGGCCTCATCTGTCCTCCCACAGCCCCCTGTACTGCCCCCCAGTCACAATTTCCTTACACTGTATTGTAATAACCTGTTGAATTTTCTCCACCACTAGAATATAGGCTTCCTGAGGGCAGGCTTGGTTCCCTGCTGAATCCTCAGTGCTAAGCCCAGGGCGTGGCACACAGTGGTGCTCAATAAATATTAATTGCAAAGATGAATAAATATTAAACAGGAGTGATAATGCTCTCAGTACTGGATGATGTTAATGCCCAACCAGACCCCTTCATCAGGCCAGAGCACCCATCCCCCAGAGACTGTAATTATTGGCTGTAAATTGGCTTAGAGATGTCCCCTTGTCGGAAGAATTGCCCTCAGCTGAACTGGATGATGGGCTCACCTGCATCCCCATCCCAGAATCAGGCTGCAGTTGATGACTGACAGATGCAGGGGTACAAAAGTCAGCCCCTGAACCTTCAGATGGAACCATCTCTGTAATGGAATTCATGCTCCAGGAACCGCCCCCCATCCCCCACCCCCCACCCCGGGGAATCAGGCCACATCCAGGCTTAGCTCCTCCCTTGCCCTGCCCTGCTTCCCTTACTCCCCTTCCCCTGAGAGCAACCCTCAGTAAAATAAACCACTTTTTCACGGATCCCTGTCTTAGGCTCTGCTTCTAGGGAACCTGACCTAAGACATCCACCTTGATGGCCTCGCTGAAAGTAAGATGGAAGGATGGATGGATGGATGGATTGCTAGAAATTGCTTCAACCTCCTTCATTGGAAACATATGGAATCTGAGTCCCAGGGAGGCTTGATCCAGAACACAGGCCTCTAGGACTTTCCCTGCCTCCCCTATACCCACCCGCATCTGAGGGTACTCAGGGACCCCAGCCCCATTCCCCATCCCCACAGCTCTCTCCCCTCCACCTCCACTTGCCCCTATAATCCCTGAGGACCTGGCAGGCATGCTATCCTGGAATGGAAGATCTCCATGCTCAGAGCCCCAAACCTGGGCTCAGGCCCTGGGGGCTCCTCATTCAGAGTGGGGCCTTTTTCTGGAGGACCTTCAGAAGCTTCTGGGAAGCCAGCCTTTTCCTCGGTCAGTGGGTCTGAGTCAGCGTCTGGGCCAGATGTTTTGGTCTGAGTTGTTCCAGCTGGGGAAGAAAAAACAACAAAGAATGTTAAGCAGAAGATGGATTTTCCCAGGGAAAATGTTTTCTTTTTCACATTCTAATAGTAACAGCTTACAATACTGATCTCCTTCTATGGGGCAGGCATCGTGCTAAGCTCCTTACTTCTGGTGTGTCTTTGACCCTCAAAACAACTTGAGGTTAGGCAGGCGAGATCCCCATTGTACAGACAGGGAGACCTGGACTTAGAGAGGTTACGTCCTTGATCAGGGTCACCCAGCCAGTGCGTGGCCAAGCTGGGGTGTAGAATCCGGCCATCTCAACACAATCACAGAATCTTGCTCAATTCCAGGCCCATGAGACCTCAAGCCTCTTGACATGCCACCCCATGCTCTAAATCCCTGAGACTGAGCCAGCCCAGGTGGGTCTCTGCCCCTGACAGCCTGTGCCACCTTGTCACCTGACCACAGGCAGAGAACAGTTCCCCTGTCCAGCTGAGTCACTGGGCAACTTACCTTTCCCCAAGCACTTGTCTCGGTTGGGTTTGGGAGAGTAGAGTGAACACAAGACTTTCCAGGGCCCGTCATGCTGGAACAGGGCTTTCTCCTGAGTCACAGGGCCTTGCCTCTGCCACTTTAAGAAAGAGAATTTGAGCCCAGGAGTGGGGGAAGTGTTTTGACAGGGCCTGGTCACAGGCTTGGGAAGTCTCCCATTTTCCTGTTGGGTCCTCTCTTCCATCTTGGTTGCAGGGGCTGGAGAAGCAGGAGGGGAAGCTGGGCGCAACTGGGCAGAGGATGCTTGTTTTGGTCCTGGATTGAACTGGACTATATTCTCTGAGTCTCCCAGAGGTCCCTGTGTCTTGGAGGGAGCTGGCTCTTCTGAGACACCTGGCCCGAAGCCAGAGGTACAATGCAGTGGGTTTACAAGGATGCTGAGGTAGGGCTCTTGGGGCTGGTTTTCTGAGTCTTGGGTGGGAACTTTATGATTAACCTTTCTCCTCAAGTCGCAAACACAGGGTTTCTTCCCCGAACTTGCTGGCTTCTCACAGGTCCATTTTTCCAAAGAAGGCCCCCCATTGGCCCCTGAGAGAGGCAGTATCCTTTGAGAGAAAGGGATTTCCTTAGTTCCAGATAGCTCCTCCTGTGCCCCAAAAGGAAACCCACTGGATGTCTCCACCTCCTTACTGGGACACCCTCCTCGGTTCTCTTGGGAAAAGTCCAGGAGAGCCACATAATCTCCCTCCAAGTCCTGGCTGGCCACTTTGTCCATCCTGAAGCCCACCTCCCCAGGCCCAGCTTGCTCCACTTTGATGAGTCCTGGATACTTGTCCCCAGGTGTCCTGCCCTTGCCCTTGGCCAAACTCTGGGCAAGCAGCACCTGACTGCCTGGGGACCCGGCCTGGTGCAGCTCTTGGGGGCTGTTCAAATCCAGTGCCTCTAATTGAAGGGATCTCCAGGCTGGGGAGAGGACATTTACTGCTTGGGGTCTGTCATCCACAAACTCTGGGCTGGTTATTTTGGTCCAGGGCACAGGGGCAATCCCGTCTTCTGAAGCTACCAGGCAGTTGTGTAGGGGACTGCCCTCAAAGTCCCTGTTGATGGCCTCCAGCCAGGCTTGGGTGAAAAGTATAGGGTAGGATGACTCAGGAACAGGCTTCGTGTCCACTGTGTGGAGGTCCACAGAGAGGCACTTGATCATGATGCAGACGGACTGCTCCTCCCGGAGCTCAACTTGGAGGTAGAAGTCACCTTGGCGCAATAAGAGGGGATTGAGGGATGCCAGGTGGACCACAACCTCATCCCGCAGGCACAGTGGCCAGCCTTCATGCAGGAAGAGGTGGTGTGAGTAGGGGGTCTGCAAAGAGAAGGGGATGGCATCAGAGAATCTGGCCCTGAAAACCCCGCCCACGGGTTTGCTTCCTTCCCTCTCCCAGAAGGAACCTTGAACTGATCGGGGACTCAGGTGAGGCAAGAAAGGTGCCTAGGACACAGCATCCAAGAGGCCCCACTCTCAGCATCCTGCAAGTCACACAGCCCCAAGAGGCAGCACCTCCTTAAATGTTGTGCCTCCCACGCCTCTTGCTCACCTTAGTCCTGGCCCTGACCTTGAAAATACTTGCTAGCCTACTGGGCCAAAGGAGAAAAGCTCTGAGTGCCAGGCACCAGGTAGCAAGCACCTTTCCCACGAGGATCGTCCTGCTGGCTCCCTTCTCCTCTCCATCTATCAAAACTTCTCTCAAGCCAGCTCAAGCTAAACCCTCCCCTTTAGGGCCAGGGAGATGTGGCTTCCAAGGTCTGAATCACTAATTTGTGCAAATGACTTAACTTCTTTGAGTCTCAATTTCCCTATTTGCAAATAGGAATAATGATGCATAGTGGTATTATTGGGTTGGTATGAGGATTAAGTTAGATTATAAATACATTCATGTTTTTTTAAAAACCAACACAATGCATAACATATAATAAGTAGACGTTCAGTAAATATCATTTCCCTCTCCCTTTGACAATATTTACCTTTTGAAAAATTGTAGGATTTTCAATCTTTAAAAAAGGTTACATACTGCCTTTATTATATTCTCTAATTTGTAAAGTAGCGAGATTACAGAGTGAAGCAGAAACACTACTAAGTGAGAAGTTAGGAAATCTGACCCTGCCACGAACTTGCTGGATGGCCCTGAAAAATCATTCTGCTCTTCTGCGTCTGAACGTCAGACCCGGAATATTTATCTGTTTGTTTATTATTTATTTATTTCCCATTAGCAGTTAACAACACGGCAGGTGAGGCTAAACAATAAAAAAACAATTTTAAACAGAAGGTGCCAGCAATTCTCTATATAGGTAGACACAGCAAGTCATCCTGGGGCCTCTCCAGGGGGCTGTCAGGGCTGTGCAGACCCAGTGTTCAACAGTGACACCATGTGGCAACAACAGAAACAACAGCTCCACCAGACTGACAACAGGTCTTTTTCTCTACCTGACTTTTGGAAAAGAGTCTGATCTGATTCCTACAGATTGAATAAGCCCTGGATAATCTCATATAATTTGGATGTGTATATAGGAGACCTCCAGAGGGTGACACTAAACTTCCTGTTAATTAAGCAGGTGTTTCCTGGAATTAATTGGGGAAATAATGTGATCTGACCATACTTGTACCTACCATGTTGATAAACCAGTTCATTTCAGTTACACTGCAGATTCGGCTGTCTCCAAGAAGCTTCATATCCATAAACCCCACGAGTCTGTGTTACTCCAGCCTTTTCACATAGCCTTCTGCTGTTTACAACATCCTTTCCGTCACCTTCTCAGTGAACGAGACGAAACAGTCCAGAGGTATTTTGCAAATAGCAAAGCACCATAGAAATGACTGTTACGATATCTTATTTGACTCTCAGTAACTCAGTGGTGCAGACAGTTCAGGAAAATTCCTCAACTTTACAGATGAGGAAACCGAGGCTAAAGAATTGCCTCATGGTCACACAGCTGAAAAGTAGCAAAAGCAGGACTTGTGCCTAGACTTGCACATTTGGAGTCGGCTGTATCTGTCCTTAGTCCCTCCAGACTTCATTGATGGTGGCTGTCTTTCTGCGTGCTGGTGGTTATAAAGGCAGACTTTGAGGCTGGCACATTCTTATTTCAGAGGGAGAAAGGAGACAGTGGGAAAGTAACAGCCAGCAGCTACTGAGCAATAACTTCATGCCAGGCTCTGGGCTAAGCTGTGTGTATCATCTCGGTGAGGTACATACATCCTGTGTTATTAACATTCCCACTTCCTACATAAGAAAACTGAAACTCAGAGAGGTGACACAGATCCCCCAACTTCATAGTGATGGAGCCTGGATTTGAACTTGGGGCACCTGACTCCTGAGGGCATACATTAATCCCACGCTACTTCCCCCTGCTCTGAGATGACACGAATTCACCTATAATTATGATTAAAGTAAAAGATAATTGGAAATAAAGAAATCTAAATGTTGTGACCCTTGTCCCTAGAAGAAATGGGGAAAGAGACAGTGCAAATGCAGTTTTAATGACCAAATAAAGGAAGCAGGCAGTTGTATAGCTTGTCAGGGAGAAGAAATAAGGATGGGGAGGATATGGCTTAAATAATGTCAGCATGGATATGTGGAAATTGGCTGCAATGTTTCAGTGAGACTCTTCCTTCTCCTAAAAGAACAGCAAATGTGTATGGAGCTATTTCTGTGGGTCAGGCACTGTGCTAAGTAGCTTAAATGAATGATCTATTTCCTTCCAGTTCCAACCATCTCTAATTCTGGCTCCTAAGCCTGAACTTTTAGCTGCTTCGTTCAATTTCTTTCTACCACTGAAATGACGCACATGGTCCCTCTGTTTATTTGTCCTCCTGATGTGCCAGGTCCCCGACAGGCATGAGCAACTCAGGAAAGGCTAGTAGGACCTAAGATGCTGTTAGCGATTCTTGACGCTGGGGCAGTAGGGGTGGGCACTGAATAACAGTGGGGCAGTAGGGGTGGGCACTGAATAACAGTGCGGAGTAGGGCAGAGTCAGCAACTCTGTGAAGGGTGTGGGTAAGTTCTAGCAGTGGGCATCTGAGGCTTTGGTCTCCAAAGGCCTCTCCCCACCCTTCCTTAAAACAGTCTCCACCCTCTGAGCTTAGAGGTAGGCATATGACTCAAGCGTGGCCAATCCTGGTATCCCATTCCTCTGGCTGCAATAATTGGTCCGAGCATGGACACAGGATCCAAGCCTGGCCAATCCTGGTACCCCATTCCTCTTGCCACAGTGATTGGTCCAAGCAGGGACACAGAAGCCGAGCCTGGCCAATCAGGATACTTCCTTGTGATTTTCTATCTGCAGCTGACGGGGAGGAGTTCGTTTTCCCCTCCAGAGTAGGATTTTGATCCTAGCGCTGCCCTGGGCTCCAGCCTTGAGAAACACCTAGCCTGTAAGAATGATTCTGGCAAGCAGTAGAAGCAGAGACAAGAGACAGAAAGAGTCCTCGAGGAGTTTGATCAGTGGAACATCTCGGGCCTTGGTCCGAATCACCCTGTCCTGGTCTGAGTAAGGATCTGTCATTTGCAGCCAGTGAGTCTTGCCTAAAACACTTTTCTTTCCCCTTTGCCTCAGGAGAGGCCTCCCTGAGATCTGGGTTGAAAGAGTCTCCAGGGAAGAAAGTGAGAGTCCTGATGCCACGAGGGCTCCAGGGAAGGTCTGGGACATTCTCTACTATTTCCATTGAAGCTGCACCATTTCAGCCAAGACAGCCAGATGATGCCCACAATGCCAGTTCCTGGGGGGCCAGAGAACCCACAAGGTTGGCCTCCCTCCCTGTTAGTCAAAGTGCAAACGTGATTGACTCCTAGATGTCAGAGGGTGAAGGGCCAAGTGACCTTCCTGTCCATTTGTGGGGCTGAAGTCTTTTTTGGAGCAAGCAATGATACATGAAAGCCATCCCACGTCCCCAGTTCATGTCCTTCAACAACACACTCACCAGCCCACCTCCTTCCCTGCTCACCTCCAGCCCCTGGGCTTCTGGGAGAGCTTGTCCCCTGGTCCCACATCCCTCTGACTTACACAGGCTGCTTCGCGCACTTGTTCACACAGGCGCTTGGCAGGGATCAGGAAATCCAGGAGGAAGTTCAGTCCATCGCCCCGGAAGTCAGAATCCAGGAGACGGAACACCTGACCCAGGATGGTGGGTGCTGTGGCCTCAAAAGGGGGATAGAGGCCCGCCAGGGCATGCTGGATGGCTGCATCCAAGGATGGGGGGTCCTGTGGGGGACAGGAGGAGAGGATGAAAAGTGATAGTAGCAATAATAATAAGGGTAGGGGCCACTTCCCTTGACCTTCCTGGCCTCAGATAACTAAGGCTCCTGCTAACTCTGAACTCCTCTGCTACTCCCTCCCACTCACACACCCGCTTCAGCCACATTGGCCTTCTTTCCTGTTCTTCAAACATACCAGGCACAATCCCATCTCAGGGCCTCTGCCTAGAATACTCCTCCTTAAGACATCCTCATTCCCTCACCTCCTGCAGATCTTTGCTCAAATGTCATCTGCTGATCCAAGGTGGAGTAGAGGAACAGGGGAAGGCATCCAGGTCAGGGCCAGAGGGAAAGGAGAGGTCAGCATCCCCAAATGTCACCACCTGGCTGACCTGCAGACCTGCAGTTTGAAGCTGAGCCACCAGCGAAGCCCAGCCTAGATGAGACAAGCCCCAGTCCACATGCAGACGCATGAGTGATAATGAGTGATTGCTGTTTTATACCACTCAGTTGGGGTGGTTTGTTACACAGTAGTAACTAACTGATACAAGCTGATATGATTGATGCGAGCTCCATCTTCATCTATCCAGGATGCCTCCTCTAGATGTTTATGGGGCACAGACATCAATACATAAATCTAACTCAATACCCTCCTAAGCTTACCCCTTCCCCCACATCCCTACCTTAGTGATTGCCTCCCCATCCAGTCAGACTCCTAAACCAGAAATCTGCTCATCATTCCGCCCCTTCCTCCCGCCTCCCCTGCCCACAGACAACCCTCAGCCACATCCTAAACAGTCTTCTCGCCTCCATCAGCTCACCAACCCACTCTCTCTGCTCTGTTCGCCTGCCCCGCCCAGATCCAGGCCCCTATCACCTCTTCCACTGAATCACCTCCTCACTGGTTTCCCATCTCTAGTCTCCCTCCTCTCCAGCATTTCTCCACCAGGACCCCAGGGTGATCTTTCTCAAATGCAAACGTGGCCTTGTCAGTCTCCTGCTCAAAGGTTCAACACTGCCTTCAGAAAGCACCTGGCCACACCTCCAGCCTCACTGCTCTCCCTAGGCTTCTGCCACTATGACACACACGTTCCCTCCCTCGCCTCCAGGATTTTTCACATGCTGTTCCTTCCTCCAAGGATGCCTTCTACTTCCATTCCCACCAGGCTAACTCCTCGTTCTGCAAGATCCAGGTCACCCCTCGTCTCTTCTAGGAGACTTTCTCTGATCTCCCACTCCCACCCTAGCTGGGTCAGGTGTCCTCATTTCTGGGCTCCCATGGCAAATCCCACGCTGATTTTTGTCTCCCTCAGTGGACCCCGGGCTCCCTGAGGACAGGAGTGGTAAGCAGGATAATGCTCGCCCCCGCCCAATGCCCACATCCTAATCTCTGGAACCTTACATGGCAAAGAGGAATTAAGGTTGCAGATGGGATAAAAGTTGCTAGTCAGCTGGCCTTAAAGTAGGGAGATTATTCTGGATTATCCAAGTGAGTCCAACACAATCACAAGTGTCCTCAAAAGGAGAAGAGAATGCAGAAATGGTGAGAGTCAGAAGGAAAGGTGACTGAGGAAGAAACATCAGAGAGAGGCAATGCTGCCGGCTTTGAAAACGGAGGCAAAGCCAAGGAATGTGGGCGACTCATGGAAGCTGGGAAAGGCAAACAGATTCTCACTGAGAGTCTCCAGAAAAGAATGCAGCCCATCAGCACCTTGATTTGAGCCCAGCGAGGCCCACGTTGGACAGCTGATCTATAGAGCTGCAAGATGACACATTTATGCTGCTGTAAGCTACTAAATTTGTGGTCATTAATTTCAGCGGCAATGGAAACTAACACAGCTGGCACTGACTCCTATTCTTCTAGGGTTTTCAGTGCCTGGCACAATATAGGTGCTCAGTAATGTGGAGGGATAAATAAAGTGTCCCTCTCTGAACCACACCTTTTCCATCTGTAAAACAGGCAAGTGGGACAAGGCCAGAGGGTCCCAACCAGGTATGGTACTAGGATCCAAGGGTTGTGATTTTCGGCTCTTAAAAAAGCCTGATGAAAGCCATTCTGGTTGCCCCAGACTGGCTGCAAGTTCTGAGTCTATCTATCGCTGAAGGATGTAAAGGAAGATGAGAATAAACAAGAATCCAGCATAAAGGGAGCCTACTTAGAACAGAAAAATCACTTTTATAAATGAGGCCCCTGGAGACAGGGAAATAAAATAAAGACTTTGAGGGAGAGGAAGAGAGCATGTCTCCATCCCAGAAAGATTCTAATGCCAGGAGGCTGTAAAATAGGAGACGCTAGCCCAGGGCATTTAGACAAATGTTGGTGTCACTGCTGTGTCCCCAGCACCCACACACAGCTGAACACAAGGTAGGCCCTCCATCACTATCTATAGAATGAATATATGAATGAAGGAATGAATGAATGTCTACAGCCCCCATTGTGAAGGAAAGAGGGTCCTGGCACCGTCGTTGGTAAGCCCAGACACAAGGATCACCCCCATAATAATGACAGTTTCTAGGTGCCTGCTATTCACCAAGCCCTCTACTCACATTCTCTTTCTTGGCCACACAACCACCCTAGGGGCAAAGTAGGAACATCCCATTCTGCAGATAAAGAAACTAAGACTCTTTATCTGGTCCAACCTCACAGAGAAGGGGAGAAAGACAGAGCCAGGATTCAACGCAGGTCTGGATGGGTCAAGTCTACCCTCTGCCTCTGTCCCTGGGTGTCTGCCTTGGGGCCACTACCAGCCACCAGCCTTGGAGGCGGCCTTCCCAGCTGCCTATCCTGCACTGTTTCAAGTGGGGCCCAATAATGAGGTTTACTTCTCACAGACCAAGGCTTGCAGCCTGGAACGCCTTGGCTTTCGCACACTGGCTCAGCTGGCCGCACACTGTAACCATATAAGGGGCAGCCAGCAAAAAGGAAGAATGTTCCAAGTCAACGGGACTCCGAGCTCTTGGCCACAGCATTACCTGCTACAGGCCTGAGCCCCAGGGGCTCATAAGCTGTCCAAGTATTGGGGGAAGCACACGGTGACGAGGCCCAGGCGGCTGCAGGGAGGAAAGCTGGCTACTCTCCACTCAAAATCAAACGGGCAGCCCAGCCTGGGACCACAGGAACCCAAACACCATCGGCCAGACGTGGGCCCCTCAAAATGATTTCCGTGAAACTTAATCGACATGTTTCCATTCCTCCCCCATGAGCGCAGCCCAGCCGGGCCTTTAACTGTTCCTTGACGGGAGCTGAGGCAGGAGATGGTGTGAAGCTGAGAAAGAAGTGGGTGTCACAGGCCAGAGTCCAAAGCCCTTCAGCCCCCTCCCCTGCGACTCAGGGCCAGAGATGGAGCCCACCAAGGGGGCTGGCACCTATATGATGCTCACAGACCTTCTGGACTGACCCAAGGAACCTTGTACGGTGCCAAAGGACACAGAATAGTGTCTGTTCCCCGCAGTCCTGTCTGGGCAGGGGAGGAGTCGGAGTACAGGTGTTTGTAAATTTCTGATCAATGTCTTTGCAATGAGCCTCTATTATTATTGCGATCTTAAGTCTTATCAAGTAAAATAAACAAGTATGAAGTGCATAGGTTGATGCATTTTTACCTCTGTATGTACTGTTGGAACCACTACCCAGATGAACAGACAAGATTTCCACCACCCCAGAAAGAAGCCCCCTCCCAGGCCAAGCCCCCAGTCCAGCAGTAACTACTCTTCTGACCATTGGAATTAAAAAAAAAAATTCCCATGCAGTGTGATCTCCACTGCGTAAAAATGTGTGTAAGCCGAGAGGCCATGAAATAAAGTGTTAACTGCAGTTACCCCTGAGGGCTGTGAGGGACAGGGGCCTTGTAAGTCACAGTTTTAATTTTCCTCATAGTTGCTGGATTTTCCAAACGTTCTGTTACCAGACTGTAGAGCTCTTATAATTGGGGGTAGGGATATAAAAGTGTGATTGTGTGTGTGTGTTTTTAAGTCTGGTTCCCTTTTTAAATGGTCTCACCAGATGTTGTTAGTTGGGCCTTCTGAGAGGTGGGCTGAACTCTTCTTAAAGGTTCAGATTTGTCCATTTACTCCAACAGGCAAAGATTTTAGTATCACTTAGCATCGACACCTCCTAGCTTGGGAAGAGAGAGAACTGAGAAAAGCTGAGGTAGGCAGTGTCCTAGGGCTACTACCTTCAACCCCTGCTCTCCTCCGTGGCAGAAACGCCTAGGAAAGGTGAGATTCCACCCTTGACTCACTGGGTTATCTTAGCCTCAGTTTCCCCATCTGTAAAATGGGACCATTGGGCATATCTAGCTCTAAGGGCCCTTCCAAGTGGGGCCTTTCTAGAATTCAAGATACAATCAGGTTCAGGAAGGTTTGGAACTGGGATGGTTCCCAAATGGGATCAGTTAACCCACAGTTGGTGAGAAAGTTTACAAAGGTCTGTCTCATCCATCTCCCTACTCAGGTCCAGGGAGGGTCTAAGCCAGCAGCCACAAATACAAATGCCTACAGGGGCCTGAGAGTTGGTATGGAAGATGGAATTGGTCCAAGTGTGAGAAAATAACCCCTCTAGCCCCTTGGTAAGTGGCCTCTGACAGTCAGCCTCAGTGTCAGGGAAACAATAGGGAGTGGTGGGGCCTGGGGCACACACCGCATCTCATCAGCTCCAGCCAAGAATTGCCTTTGCCCAGCATTGCCAGGTCTATGGAAATTTTAGTAAAACCTCCCCAAATTTTAAAGGTTGGCCAAACCAAACACATCTGTAAGCCAGATGCAGCCCAGTGGGTATCAAGCTGCGACCACAAGGCTCAACTACCGGGGGCCCTCCTCTTGAACTTCTCCAGGCTGGAGAGTCTTCTCCAGGCTGTTGTTCTGGCTGCCACGAAGTTATTGCTCACATCAAACTAAAGCTTCTCCTGCTTTAAATCCTTTTTGTGTGGGTGGAAGTATGAGTGAGAATTGGCTCCTTAATAAAACCTTTCAGAAACTGGAAAAACAACCCAGATGCAGTGAACTGAGAAGCAAGTGGGCGTTAGAAGACCCACATTCAAGTCCAGCTTTGTTATGTATCATCCGTGTGACCTTGAGCAAGTCAGTTCACCTCTCTGGGCCTTAGTTTTGTGTTTGTTCCTTTCCCTCTTATCCCTTTTGCCTCTGCCCTGGGGTTCACCATCCCCCACCT